GTGTTGTTTCAGTCTAATTCGTGTTCTGTGGGCGTAAATTTACTTAGGTTAAGTTTCAGCAAAGTGTCCGAAATTGCTGTCCGAAAGTTGTCCGAAATGAGATAAAAAGTGTCCGAAAATGAAACGTCCAAAATTGTTTGCACGTAATGTAGTTTCCCAAGCGAACGATCACTGAGCTTAGTTTAATTTTGTCGCTAGACACCAGGGTATATACCGTAAATCCTCGAATTAGCGCCTCCCTTCGAATAAGCGCCCCCATCTTCTCCTAGATTTGAAATAAGCGCCCCGGGCGTTAATTCGAGGATTTACGGTAGGTCATTTTTGGATTTTTGCAACAGCGAGTAGTAGTAGACAGAGGATTTTATTTAGCAGAATTGGAGAATCTGGTTAGTGATAAATTGAACCAGATACGGGCTCGTCAAAAACGGCACAACTCGTAAACATATACAGCGATACTACACACCAAAACATCTAATAAGATATAGAGGGGCGGACACTAATAGCCATTTTATGAGTAGAGATTACTAGGAACAACATCCAAGCGATTGCTGAGCCCTTTAGTTCCCAAGACCCTTTCATGTTGTGTCCCGAGGAAATAGTGTATCACGTGGTCTCAGACGACTCGGCCCATTCCACACAAACTCTTCTCGTTTCTCCGTGATCAATCTAAATTCAGGCGCCGATTAGTGTATCGATCACTCATAAGCGCCCCAAAACGTACCGACGTGGAATACGTACGTTTATAGCATGCCATAGAAACTACAGCCAATCAGAATATAGGAAAGCGGTACAGTATTACACCCAAGCTTCCCATCATGCGCCGCGCGTATCACTGTCTTGGACATTGTATTCTCTAGAGGATGGTATATAAAATAGTTATTTAACGCTCTCTCGTGCTATACTACGGAATATCCCACTTGTCACTTACAAGATACAAGTGACTCGTGGGATATTTCATGGTATACCACTCTAAAGCGTTGTATAACTGGTATGTATTTATCACACTCGAGGACAAATACAAAATACATATTTTATTCAGAAACCCTGCTGCATAAATTAAATTTAAAACAGTCTTTTTCTGCTTACTTCGCTTTTAATTAATCCAAACGAATGGACAAAGCGTCTCAGTTATTTTACATAAAACTTAGCTTAGGTTTTTATATTAACTTAATTCTCACTTCACTACGTACAGCAAATAAATAAGGCGTTTTGTGATACTTTCGTAATAGTGCAATGGACTATTAACTGTTATGCACTCCAATTACCCCCACTAGCGATCTAACGACGCAGTCCCTTTATATTAACAATAAATTTGGTTGCTTAGGACAAAAGTCCTTTTAAAGTTTTTTCATGACAACATTAAGAAGCCAAATGGGGCGCTTCGCAGTCTGTATGTCTGTTCATTCCAGTTACGAATTAAATAATTTAATTTTCTCGGTGGTGACAACAGAACGATTTCGCGCCTGCATCGTGTTAAACACGGTAGATCTAACTCAATTTCAACGGTACAAATCAGTGCGCTTTCTAAAGTAGAGGAGCTTAATCACACATTTAAATAGAGAACCACGGTTTAAAGGAGCTACGTCACGGTATCCGCATGTTGAAAAGATTAACCTAAATTTTTCAAGTTCGTCGTTTGTAATCCGTGTTAATCTTTTCCATCCTTGACCATCCTTGTTCCTTCAAGGCTTATTTTTATCTCTTTGGTGTTTTTCTATCTTAGTCAACTACTATTTTCAGGTTTCTTTCAATTTAAAGATAATTTTGTACGCGGCCAAAATAACTCAAAATACCGTGACTGAGCTTCTTTAAGCCTTCTACATTACTACTAAAATACACCATCCAGTATTTAGCTCCTACTACAGGAGTTGCAGCTGAAAGGGACCTCAGTTTAAACAGAGTATTTACATTGACGAAACGTTTTCCTCAAGAATGTGTTCTCTTAAAGGGACACTGTCACGATGTATTTGCTTAAAACTGTTATAAATTCACGAAATGGTGCCTAAATTTATGTAATAGGAACTTAATCAGCTCTAACTAAATGATTAAAAGCAATTTCTTGAAGAAAGTCCACACTGCAGCAACATTTTTGCAAAATTTCAACGATTTTCGAGGCAAACCTGAACCTTTGAAAAACTGCATCCTGACGCTTTTTCAAAAATTCATATCGCAATCTGTTTCCATCCTCGCCATCGTTAGCCATCCTCACCTCCTAATGGGTTTTAATCATTTGTCGAGTACTGCTCTACAAAATAAAACCATTATTGTTCAGCTTCCAATGATCGATATCTGTTTTTGAGATTTCCAAAATCATGCTGAAAATGGTGACAGTGTCCCTTTAACTGTTCTAAGTTCTGTCTAGTCACGTTTAAAACTACAGGCGCATAAAATGGCAGCTTAGTAATAACAACTATGTCGGTACAATTTCCAGAGATATACAAGAGGAGAAGTGGTATATCGTTTAAAAAAGGAAAACAACTGATCAAGTCGCCCGTTCACTATCGTTTGCATTTTAACATTTCTAGCCATTGTTCTTTCCATGGTGACATATTGCCGTCTCTGTTGACGGTGGAGGAAGGGCTGATGGAGGAGACCTGGTGTGCAGCCTCGTCCACGGCCGCTGAAACGAGCTTGGTGTCGAGAATGTCATCTTCACTGTTCTAGGCATGCACACGACTGGACCATGGTTCCTCAGCCAGTGCTGTTTGAATTCTGTGATGCAGCCACATAAGAAAACAGGCACAGCACTGCATAGCAGATTTGATTGCACTAAAACAAATCCATAGAGGTACGTTTAGTGGAAGAAATAATGGACCGCAAGTTGCTTCATGGATCACACGTGCCATGAAACACATGGACGCATGCATATATGTCTATATGTCTACTTTGTGAAATCAAATACCACTGACCCAAGCGAAAATGCAGGTAGAAAGGTAAGCGATTGGAACTAACGAGAAAGCACAGGTTGTCTTGCGTTGCATGCGTGGACCTGCGTTATCTGCGTCAGCGTGCGTTATATGCGTGAACCTGCGTTATCTGCGTCAGCGTGCGTTACATGCGTGAATCTGCGTTATTTGCACGAGCATGCGTTACATGTGTGAACCTGCGTTACCAACTTTCATTACGGGTGTGTACTTCCGTTGCACATGCAAACTTGCGCTAGATGCTTAACCCTGCGCTACATGCGTGACCATTGCATGGTTTCAACGTGCGAGTCCGGTTTGCAGTAACAACATTGCAACCCCGATATGACGGACTCACAAGTATTAGTAACGGACAAAAACGAGCTTATTCTGAAATGACGTACCATTTGTGAACCAAATCTGTGCTGAATTGTTCCTTGTGTTGCTGGCACTGAAACGAAATAAGGAAACTTAATTTATCATTCTACAACCAAGTTCAACTTCACTGTTGTGACCAAAATACTCTCCGAGGCTAAATTACAGGCATGCAGTGTTTTTTGCTACAATAGACTTTACACTCACCAAATTCCTCCAAGAGAAACACACCTCCTTGCGTGGAACAATTTCTGATGTGACACAAGTCAATATGCACCTACAAAAAAAATTGATGAAAAAACATTAAACCAACAAACGATAAATAAACAACTTACGTAGCAGTCAAAAATGTTTCTGTTCGTGTTAACAAGAAAGTTAGAAGCATGCCTCGCAGCTGAAGGAATTACCCAACTCACCCTACGTGTGGCAAACTTCAACCCAATTCCCTCGAGTGTAACTTGTAGAAGACCACTTTCATTAGTACTAAGATCCTGCGAAAAAGAATAAAACGACAGTTGACAGAACTGTAGCTGAAAATTCAATGCTTCAACGGTCAGCGGTCAGCAACTAGTTTAGCCAACTAGTTTGGCTCTTTAGTTATTTTGGGTGACCAGCAACTGTATGAATTTTAAATTTATTTATTGTTTAATTAGTAATTAAGTTAATTTTACAGTTCAAATAAAACCTTGTTGTTCAACCGTGCTCTTTTCTGCAGTTAGTAAGAGACGAAATCACAACAGAAGTTAAAACAATGAAAAAGTTTATCACCCCTATCGGAAAATAAGAGAATATGACTGGTCCCCTCATCGTTGATTATTCCCCACGTCAGTGTTATCTCACGTTTTGCCCTTAAAAGGAACATTACTCTTAATTTTTTGCTTATTGTAAATAATAGGCCACAACAGGATAGAACATACTGGAAGCAAGAGATAACTAGCGATATATGAAAGTGAAACTAACCTTGACTGGAAATTCTCCCCCGAGCTGAACTCCTGTAAAAATTTACAGACGTAAGTACATAAAATGGTCTAGTTTGAGCGTTCCAGGGAACCGTCTCTTAAAATATTAATACCAACATCATAAGAGAGAACTGACACTATACAGTCGTCTTGGAACTACAGCAATGTTGGTCGCCAAAGCAAGCACAAAATTAAAATTATTCGGTATCGAATTGCCGAATGAGACGGCACAATTTTATCACACGCTATAAGCTCACGAAAACTCAATGACTCGAAATTGTTTGGTGTAAATTAAAGTTACTAGCTTCTCGCGTCTGTTGTATACGACACGGAAAATATTGTGGGATCTTGTTATAAACCCTATAACAACAATAGCGTCAGACAGTGTTCAATGAAGAAGGTTGTATGCGATCTTTGCATGAGCACGCTACAAAATTCGCATGTGGCAAAGTTATATAGTCCTTCTATATCAACTACTGGCAACAACAAACAAAAGACTAAAGGTTATGGTACTTAGACACATGGTTCGGCATGTATTAACTTAAACATCAACCACAAGCCGTCACACAAGGCACAGGAAACAGCAAATATCAGGTTTAGCTGAAAGTTCAAAACATGAACACAACTTGAACAGATACAAAGACACTAGTTACACATGTATCGCGCACACAAGGGACACCTGTCAACAAACACAACAAAAACAACTTAGTGTACAAGAATACAAACAATCACAAGGGAACAAGTAAACTCTGGACAATTAGTTTCACTCTAACAAGTGATAATTCACATTATGACTTGTTTTAGTTAAGAAAGACCAATATTGATCAATAAATATAATAACAATATTAATGAACGTTAGTGTACTTAGAGCAGCTTTTAATTGTGTCAAAAACAACCCGGGTTTGTTTCTACATGTACATTAGATCCTTTACCAGATCTCACAAAACCTCTTTAACCAATACATGTTGTAGGACTGGACAATACTTGAAGCGAAAAGGGATTTAAGAATCATAGAATTGTTCAAACAAAGTGGTTCTGAAAAATGCACAACAAAACCAACAACTTAAGCCGTATTGCGGAAAATGTTGTTGTTGCATGCAATATCACCTGCAGGAGCGTTTAATAATTGCACTTATCGACTAACCTGTTCCCTTGTCACTGAGTCTGTCTGCAGCTCTCTGTAAACTTTCCTTGATGCAGTAGTACAAAGCTTTACACTGTTGGAAAAAATCAAAACAATTATCTTTCACTTTCCACAGTTCACCTGTCAAGGACGCTCTCCCAAGCCTATCACGCGAACAACCACAGTCAGCTTGTCTATGAGATCGTCACGTCACGTCACGCGTTGTGTGACCACCGATAGAGCAAATGCGAAGAAACCTACCAAACCCTTGCATATTACAAAATAACTGATTTGCTAAAAAGCTAAATGTGGCAAAGATATTCTAGTTACAAATGATTTACCTTCTTGGTGCAAAACTTATTCAGAATCGTCTCATCTTTCTGTCTGCACCACAGACAGAGTACTTTTGTCTTCGGAGCGTAAGTAATGTTCACCAGTTTCTCGTACCACCATCTTTCCACTATGGCCCCCATTCCAGTTCGTAGAAGAATGCAGTCATCACACACCTGTACATAACACAATTAGCACCTTCTATCAAATGTGACTTTTAACACTTATTGTCAGAATGTAGGACCTCCCCCTGGTTTGCTCTAGAACTACGAACTACGAAGGTGAACAGCGANCTTATTGTCAGAATCTAGGACCTCCCCCTGGTTTGCTCTAGAACTACGAACTACGAAGGTGAACAGCGAAAAACAAAGTAACGCAACACATTACGACAATAAGCCGCCTTTAACTGAGGTAGGTCACATGGTAATAAAATAATATTCAATCAGTGAAGATATCTCAGCTGAATAGCAAGCGAGATTATTTAATATTGCAGAACACGATCTCATTCCAATCTAAACTAAAATAAACTTGGCCTCTGTTCCCAAACAGTGCTTGTTTTGTAGGGTTCATTTAATATCAAGACTTGACCACCACAGCTATTAGCTGTGCCCTGATCTCTAGAGAGGTACTTCATCAGAAAGGAATTTTTCTGGCTGAATCTCAGACGCATCTTCAGGTGAAGATGAATCGAGCTTATGAAGAGGGACCTGGGGGACTCCCATATAAAAAGAACGAGGGTGCTCGTCGAAAATTTTGAAACAAAACCCTGGGCCCCGGGGGGGCGGGGGGGGGGGGGGGTAGAGGCGTCCATTTACTTGCCCACTAACCTCCATGAAAAACACATCTCCATTCATAGAATCTCCAGAATGGACAACGAAGGAATGTTTCAACATCTGGCGACTCCCAGCTGGCTTGAGATCAATATCATTACCATTCTAACACGGACAAAAAGCAAAACAAACATTCAACATTACACATCTGTGTATGTATAATAAGAGTTCCCGAGCGGTGGCAAGCACGTCAGCAAGACGTCATGAGGTTAAGTCGTGTTGCTAAGCAACTGCATGAAAACCGCGAGCTCGATAAAGGTCTTGACGGTGATTTCCGACCAAAAAAGTATTTGAACCAAACTATGCTTTCTGAGTGAAGCTTAATTGCATTGAAAAACTATTGAAGAAGAACAAGAAGAGAAAAGTCTTAACTAAGAGATAATATTCGCTTTTGCTCGTTGACATGCCAACAGCCTGTTGGAATAGAAAGAAATCTGAGAGAGGAAGTTACGAAGCCCAGCTCATTGCCGTTGTTCATCTGTACTGAACAATCCAACACGGGCTAATTAGTCCGGGCTGAATTAGTCTTCGTGTTCTGCAGAAGTATTGATACTCATTTGAATTTCTTCTCGAAGAATAATTTTCTTTAAAGCAGTATTGTTAGCTGGGGATTTCAAGGCAAGACATTCTATGGTGTATACAATAAAGACAAGTTCTCTTTGAGCCCAACCCGATCCAACCCAACCGATCATATGGCGGAAAAACGCGCATGTGAAACACGACGCTTCTTCGAATTAATCATCCTTTAAATAATGTACAAATTTTAAGATCCTTGTTACCTAGTTAGATCGAGCTGGTGAGAAATAAGCTCGACTCTATCTGAATACAGTTTTTGTACAAAACAAAATCTCATAAAGTTTGCTTTTCTGACATCGCTTGTACCATAGACATTGTTGAAACCTGGGAATGTCTGAATTATAATTCAGATCTATCACAAACGCAAAAAATTGACTGAAAGAAAATTTAACGAAAATCTCCACATCTAGTACTGCACAAGAAAAATTAAAACCACGTAGATGACGGCAAAATATATGGCTTCAAACTATTAAACAGCAGCAGAACAGCCCAACGTAAGTAGATACAACATTACTAACCTCACAGGTATGCAGTCGACGAGATCCACCAGCGTTCAAAATTAAACTCAAACACGACCACATGGTTAATCGGTTAAATCAACAGGCACTAATTCTCTTGATTGTTCTTGACTGTTTTAAGTCCAATTTAAACTCTCTTTAGCCGCCACACAAAACTGCTTGTTCTTAATTTAACGCTTTCTCTGTTTCTGTATTGTTCAGAAGCAACGACGAACAATACTTATCAAACATACTTGCCAAAGAGAGAAGTTTCTATAGCGATGCCATTTCCTTTTATTAATGAGATAATTTTAAAAGGAAAGACCAGTTTTTGACAGGTATTACGAGCATGTAAACGCAATGAAAATTAAAACGTCCATAAACTTTCACTGTTGATGATTTTCGAATGCAAAGTTTTTCTCTAAAAGCTAATCTCTTTGTAGTGACAAATTAACATTTCATACTTTGATCAGCCATTTTTTAAAAGGTTCCTTTCAGACACAGCTGTCATTAATTGATTTTGCATGGCATCGACAATTTTTAAAAACAGAATTATGCTTTCTAAAACTCATGAGTAATGGACCTGAAAATATGCTCAACTGGCAGAAAAACATGAAAATTTCCTTAAACCAAGCAGCTTTTTCGCTTGCGTTTGCAAATTCAGTTGAAATCTAATTATATGGAGATGCACCATCGCTTTTTTGTATAAAATTAAAACTGAACATAATGGATACTGCTATAGCGATGTCACATAATACAAATGGTCACTTACATGTAAGTTAAAGCTCCATAAGGAGTTTTGTTCTTTAAAAAAATATGGGAAAAAAGACTTCGGTAAACTTTTGAAAATCAACCAGCTATTTCCTCCCGAAGAGGAAGATCTCTCCGCTGCTCTGTTTGAATAGAGAAATAACTAAACTGACACTGCACTAGGACCATCGTTGTTCCCCTTTTATTTGTTTCCTTGTTTTCGTCGGGGGAAAGAGTGTCGGTAAATCTCCGTTGAAGCATTCGGCGAGTTTCCGATTGTTACTATCCAATAAGAAACTTGCACGAACACTCACGACTACTCCGATTATTATAGCGTGAGGAGATGAGGAGACGTAGTGTTGCTTAGGAACGTCGCTGAATGACAAAAACAGTAAGCTCGGCCGATATTTGCAGAAGGGTTCTGTCCGCAAGAAGAGCGTGTTCTTACTTTTGATTTCTTATTGATATTTTACAGTTAAGTGAGTTGTTGTTCATCACCTAACTCCAACCAGCGCAAAGGGTATGATATTCCTCCAAAAGCAAAATTAATCATGACAACTTACGTCCTACCCTCTCCTATTAGTCTGCGAACACTGACGAATTTTCGTCACGGTTTTATTTTCGAACATTTTTTGCGTCCAAAATTCAAGTCGTCCGAAACTTTTTGCAGGTAATTTACTGACCTATAAGAGATATTTCCTCTTACCAGATTGTTTAGGTTATCGAGCAGATCATTGACTTGCTGGCTTTGTAAGAGCCCGATGTGTGATTTTCCTAACAGCCTTCGTACTTTCTTCTTCACCGCATCTTTGTCGACATTCAAGGCAATCATAAACGCCACTAAATTATACAACATGGTCGCTAGAAGCCTGTCCTCGTCCTCTTCCAGACGTTTCTTCTCTGCGGGACCTAACGAGCTGTATCTGAGGAAAAAATGCAGGAGTAAATTAAAATCAGCCTTATTCAAATTCTGGGTTTCAGAAGGTCAGTCACGGTATTTTGAGTTATTTTAGCCACGGGAAAAAAAAACAACTTAAAATTGAAGGAAACCTGAAAATAGCAGTTTACTAAGGTTGCAAGACACCAAAGAGATAATATTAAATCATAAAGGAACAAGGATGGTTATGGATGAAGAAGATTAACACGGATTACAAACGACAAACTTGAAAAATTTAGGCTAAACTTTTCAAGATGCGCAAACCGTGACGTAGCTCACGTTAATTCATTAATTTATTTGTATTAATTTATGCCGATCTGGTTCAAACTGGTTTACCTGTCAATCATTTCTGCCGGTCCTTGATCCATTCCCACTGCGTCTCTTTCTGCAGCCACTGCATCAAGGAAGATGTTTTCCCAGAAGTCCATGTTGTCCCACACAGTTGATCTCTCATTAAGCAGTCCCTCAAATAGGTACCGTCGTCCTGTAGTCTTCTTCCCTTCATCCCCTTCCACGGGAAAAATGTCTCCATTGTAATAACGATAGCCTGCAAAAAAAGAAATAAACAGTACAGTCAATAATCGTCACGATTTGAGGTAAATAGACTGTTTGTTTTCTTGGCACGATACTTCACACTCATAGTGACTCTGTCTGCTACGTATATAAAATGGCCCGGGAGGAGGGTACTCTCAGAAAAATTGGGTGGGGTGTACGACCCGCTTTCCAAATCCCTTACCCTATTTAAGATGTAACCCTCAAATTCATATCCTGTTTCAGACTGCCTTTTATTTAGTTCAAACCAATGTTAAAAGCAATGTTCGTATGCTTTTATCAGGTAGGATAGCTTCCTCTAAAAGCATACCCAATTCAAAGGCTAGACTAGAATGCAAAGACCATACCCAATTTCAGACCAAAATGGCCACAATCGATACTAAATCGATTCTGACTAAAACGGCTAAAAAACCCTACCCTTTGGGGCCGCACGTACCTATATATCCCATATAAGGGAGTACCCCCTCGGGATAAATGGTTACATGTAAATTGTAGGGTGGAGAAAAACCTGAAATGCACCAAATTTGTGGTTTCCGTGTGGTTTAACCTCGTTGTTGTCATACTCAAGTCCAGATACATGTGTACCGTTGCAATCAAAATAAGCTCCAAAACATACAACGATTAAATCACCTCAATCTTCAAGCGTTACCTTTGTTTAGGTTGCTTTTTCTCAGCAAGGGACTGGGAGGAATGGAAGATGACGTTTGACTCAGGCGGTCAAACGAGTTACGGCGTGTCAAAGTGTTATTCAGCTTCATGTGAGCCAGGGCTGGACTTTTACACCTGTCTTGCCTCAGTTTCTCTTCTCTACTAGCTCTTGCTAGGTCCTACACAAACATGACATTACACGCAATTAGAAATTTAGCAATACGTTGCTACAACCCAACATGAAATGACAGCACATTTTGCGTTGTTCAGGGTGGTTTTAACTCTTAGGTCTGTGGACAAAACCCAAGTGTGTGACCATTCAAATGAAAGCTATTGAGCAGTACTTTAATGCGGTATTGTTTACTATGCTGTACAAGGTGGTTCTAACTTTTAAGTCTGTGGATGAAACCCTAGTGTGTGACCATTCAAATGAAAGCTATTGAGCAATACTTTAATGTGGTATTGTTCATTATGCTGCGCAATGTGGTTCTAACTTTTACATCTGTGGATAAAACCCTAGTGTGTGACCATTCCAATGAAAGTTATTGAGCAATACTTTCACCAGTTACACGTACATGGTCCTGTTTGTTATGGTGAACTAGGAGTACTAAACCCTGGCGTGTTCCCATTCAAATGAAGCAGCTGTACAGTGCGTTGTTATGCCAGTGTGCTTTTTTGCCAAACGAATCTGCAAGTTTGTTCAGTTCAAACGTAAAGCCATGACAGAGTTTACCTGAATCTTTGTTGGATCAATGGAACTACTTCTGGCGATCTTATCTTTCAGTTCCCTTCCTCTTCTACTCAACAGTGCAGCCACATCACTATTAGAGCGTATGAGTTCAGGGGGTGCCCTCGGATCCTGCTTGCCTTGAGGCACAGACGACATTATTGTTTCAATTTCACTATTTGTTGTATTCATTTCCACGTCTCTGTCACTCCGGCCATTCAATAGAGCATGCCTCTTGCCTGTCAACAGGAGAAAGTCAAAATTTACCATAGTTTACAGGAGCTACGTCACGATTTGCACATCTTGAAAAGTTTAGCCCAAATTTTTTATGTTCGTTGTTTGTAATCCGTGTCAATCTTCTCCATCACTAACCATCCTTGTTCCTTTCTGGTTTGTTATCATCTCTTTGGTGTTTTTCCTTCTTAGTCAACAAATATTGTCATATTTTCTTTTAAAGGTAATTCTGTTCGCGGCCAAAATAGCTCGAAATACCGTGGCTGAGCTCCTTTAAATCTGCAGAGGCAGCATCAGATATGTAAACTGAGATCAAGAAAAAAACTATGATGTAAAAAAACAACACCTCGAAAATTGAACCTTTTTTAGACTGAAAAAAATCCATAAATATAAAACCCTAAGGATTAAGATAAATTAATGGTAAGAAACAATTTTAAAATCTGCTTCTTGGAAGGCAGGAATATTGTTCCATCACAACCCAGCTACTGTGAGTCAGTAATTTGCAACAAGGTGTACCAATATGTAAGTTAGTTACACATTGTAAAATTATTATAATGCGGGGAAAAAATTCAATATTAAACAATAATGAATATTGAATATTCACTAACCTGTCTCGGCAACCCAGGACTGGACCGCAGACATATCTCGTGAGTGATCTGACAAGTTTGATATGCTGTCGCTGTTGGAAATAACTGACAAGCTGTCGTCGTCATCACGTAGTTTGGCTATCTGTTCCCGGATGTCTCGTCCGTGGTAGTGTGTGTGGGCAATTTCCAGGAACTGGAAGGCAGATGCAATGCCTCCAATACCATGGTTTTCCACACTCACTTCAAAACCAGACACTGCTGCCTTCAACACTTCCAACATTCCCCTGTAGACACTGCGAGAAACTCGCTAAAAACCAAACAGATTAAATTAGACAAAACAAAAATAATTTAAGCTTGTGAATTTTGTGTTCCATGATAAACATGTTATGCTTCAAGTTACCTGCATAATAATTATTATTATGAAGGTAACTTGAAAGCATAACAAGGTTTATGGCGTCATAGCAAAAAAAAGTTTAAATTTCTTACTAGGTTGTGCAACAATTGTAATTATTGACAAAGTGGTTACAGAAACAAAGACTGGGTTTGATTCCAAGGAAATTGAGCACTACTACCACTGAAGCATTTCTAGCATATACACTGAAATTAAATTAAAAGAGAAAATGCATGTGGAAAAATATTATGAAGTGTCACAAGTCTATAGTCTTCTGGTAGCATGAGGAATGTTGCATTTATGTTTACTAATATTTTCTCCATTCTTAGTTGCCAACCTAGATAATTATCTATCACACATTTCACATAAGATCTGCCCCACACTGTCCAGCCAGTACTTAACACCACAGTTTACAATAGAGCTAGGCTGTGTAGAAACTGAATCTTATAAATAGGAAGAAATACTCCATGTAGTTATTTCAAGATGGTCAGCAATCTGTTATTAACTATTCACTCATTTAAATTGTTCTTTTTGAAAATTAGCACAAGAGAAATAAACCCGTTAAATCATAACTCCGAAATTTAAAATCCTATTAGTCTTGTCACACAGTGTCATACATTTCTTACAATAATACACTGTAGTTCTGAAAATACATTTGAGAATTTGGTGTTTGATCAGGACAATGTCCCCATTACTTGATGATTCTCTTTATTCTCATCTCCTGTTTGCTTGACAATGTATTAATAATGTAAGGAGAAATACGATGCTGATCACTTAAGAATTAAGGGGCAAGAAAACACAAAATGGGCTTTTAGCATTTAAAGGAACATTTTAAGGTCTTTAATAAATTTTAATCAACCAATGTTGCATTGGTTAATTTATTACTATTCTTCATTTATTGTTAACATAATGCAATGACATTTTTAATTTGACATTTTATAGGTTTTACAGTAGTAATTATGTAGTACAGCATGAACCCAAAGAAACATTACAAGCTCTTGTAAATTGAAGTTCTCTCATGGTGACCGAGCAAGAAGATTGGTCACCTACCTTGGCTTCAGGGCTGGCTGGAGGCTGGGTTGAGTCAGCCCCAGTGCCCCAAGTGGAAGAAGAAGGAGAAGGTGCAGACCATCCAAGAGAGAGTGAGGACAAGGTACTCCACCAGAGTTTAGGCTGCGGCATGTATGGAAGAGCCAGCTTAGTAACAACATAGTGCATAAAGACAGCATGCAGACTCACAAAACACTGTACACAACACAAACTTTGTTATCTAGGGGTGTACAATGGCACAACTCAAGACTTTTGTTTTAAACCAAAAAACTGACAAGACTTAGCATTCATTGACTCAGTGCAACAAATCTTGACAAGGTTCTAAAATTCCATCACAAAAATAAATTGTAGGTGTTTAAAACTGCTATGTTGTGGTTCTTTCTCAGGGTTTTAAATAAGATGGCTCGCCTAAAACGTCAACAAAAAAATCCAACACCAGGTTCTATACATGTACGTTGTGAGGTTTGAATTACTAGTAAGTCTTGGATGGGGTAATAAGAAATTTCAAGAAGAAATACTTTGCTCCCTCAACAATTCTGATCTCAGACCACTATACACCCCTACAACTTTTAGGCTTGTTTTCACTTATGACATGTTGAACAGTCTCACATTTTCTGGTTTAATGTTTATTGAATATGTATATTTTTGGACTTTAAGTTATTGATTTCATTGAATAACTTTAATTTTTTTTTTTATTCACCCATCATTATAGTATTTGATAAAAATAAATCAAAGCTGTCAACACTACACAAGAACCACACAAATGGCCACACAGAAAACAGCACTGACTAAAACCAAACCACAAAGCAAGTAAAAGAAAAAAGTACAATAAAGAACAAAGCAAACCAGCAGCAAAGATCAAATAGAGAGAATTAGTAAAGCTCAGACAGGATTTATAATACTACATGTGCTACCCAAATGACGGAGATGTTCTTGATTAATTTTGTTAATTTACTTTTATAGGCAAACCATAAACTTCCTTAAATATATATGAAAGCTCCCCTTCTTGCAAAGATACCCCTTACGCCATTATCTTAGGTACAAAACCCAGCTGATAAAAATGGACCCTAATACTATAACTGAATAGTAATTTCTTCCAATGATGATCTTCCTACTGCACGGTTGTTAAGTTTACAGACATTTTGAGCTTGTTTTCTATGACATATATTGTTACATCTGACATTTTATTACTTTCAATTAGTGTTAAGTGTTCAAAAGCCTTTAGGAAAAAGGAAGTTAACAGCATTCCAGTCATTACTAATTTATTTTAAATAGAGCAATACAGCAGAATTATTTATTAAAATTAGTTTAAGAGTTTATTAAATTAGAGCATATTAAATTAACAAATTACTAACAACTGTATTATGAGTATCTTGTTTTGTGGTTACATTCGTCTTAGCAGTGAACCCTGTATTAGGCCCCTGAGTATACTGCGTCAGGATGGACGAAGGAATTATGCTACTGATGAGCTGCACAGTGAGAAAACATTATAGAAACAAACATACAATGTACAAATTAACATCATTGTCCATTTTAATTATAGTGCCCTAGCTACATGTATACAATTAATTTTAAACTAACTGTATGTCTACTAAGACAGACCAATGTTGCACTAATGGGACACTCATTCATAGTTGATATCCTGGTCACAAAACACCTCCAGGGCAATCATTAAGCCCTGTAACCCATAACACCTGTTACAGCCCTGTATGCTTGATTGGTTCTTGATGCTATGGGTTAAACTGCCTGTCGTTGATAGAATTTACCCACAAAGTAACAAGTTTGTTATGGGTGTGAAGATCAAGGCTACAGGTGAATCAAAACTTAATGACAGCCCTAACCTTGACATATAATTTTGGTGCCCCAACAGAAAAAACACCTACTCAAACAACCCTTGGACATTAATTTTAACCCTACAGGAAGGGGAATCCACCCATAGGAGAACAATGAGTGATGGTCAGGCCAAATAGAAACACTCCACTTACAACCGTACTTCAAGGCAATACCCCTCATCATTAACATGGTGAAATGTTCTTCAAGAGGAGAACCATTGTTGCAGGGCTCTTTGTAGCCTCATATATCACAGATTGCAAGGTCTTCTGCTCAGCCTCTTTCCTGTTCTTGCATGAACGATTGATTTTCCTACGATCAGTAAATAACTGGCCTCCCTTTATGCAATGGGAAATGGGTGATTATGAACATTTTATTTTTAATATCATCAGCAGTCCGACAATTCATGTTAAGTTACTATAAATTATAAGGCTCATCATATGCTTGAATATGGTGTGGAATGAGAAGTTGACTTCAGGTAACCTTAGTATAAGAGTGTGTATATAACGTTTTGTTTTTGTTTGTTTGTTTGTTTGTTTTTTTAGCATACAGAGGGCCAATGTGATATTATTGCACCACGTTGCCGGGAAGATCTTCATTTTCACTGTCCAGAGATCATCTTTTGAGAGTCTTTAATCAATCAATTTTTTCACTGACAGTTTTGATATCAAAGTCCACAATGGAATTTGTTTGGTGTAGTGCTCTCTACTCTACCTAACTTGTAGGTAGGGTAAAGATTTTAACTCCAGTCTGAAATGGATAAATTAAAGTCTGGTTGGAATGAAGCAGTGCCAGTACTGTATCTGTTACATTCACTTTATAACTGTGAATGATTCTGATTTTAAGCCAATAATCAATCATCCTGTTCACAAAGTAATGACGGTTCTATCATACCATGTCATCCACAGCATCTGTGTTCCTGTCAGCTGAGGGAGCACTGTAAAGACGATTGGCAACCATAGCTCTCAACGCCTCATCCGTCATCAGCTTGCGGAGTTTCTTTGATACAAGCCAGCCCACACCATCACCTTTAAGTACACTGCGGACAATCTCCTTCAGAAACTGTTGATTTTCACTGCAAGATAATTGCCAGAGTATATTAATTTTTTATGCATACTCTTTATTTCATCCTTAAAGGAATACAAAATGAAGACTTAAGAGGGTGGTGACTTTTGCAGAATGCACATTTTTTGGCAATTCATTCTTCTTCAAGACTATTCACAGCTCCCTCTATTAAAGCAATTACTATTTAGTTGGTATAGACACGCATGTTTTAGCATTAGCCCCACTGCACCACCCTCCTTCCAATGCACCCCAACCCCTCCCCAAAGTGCATATGGTTGTCAAAACACATCGATCTTTAATATCTTTGATTAAAGATATTAAGACAGACTATGAGTAAATGTTTCTACCTGTGCAGAGCTTTTTCTGTTGAGGTTTGTTTTGGCAAAAAAGGTCTTCCTGGGACTCTTTCACCAGGCACAGGTGGTTTCTGCCTCATTCCTGAGATGAGAATAAATAAGTTTATTAGCTCCTCTTTTTTACTTTGAATAAATAAAATCTATACAGTCATAAATGACCTTTAACACAACATATCAATCAGTTTCTGTATACGTAAACTACAGTCAGGCAAGGTAAAGTCAGCAGTTGGCATACTACGATTATTAGTTGAGCAAGGCATGACAGAGCTTTGGTAACAAAGTTTTGGACTTAAAATATGGTGTTGCCATGGGGAAATTTCCTCATTTCCAAAGTTAGCAATATCCTTGCCTGCAATTTCGCATGCTTTCCTACCAATGACGTCAAAGGCCGACAAGTTGCCACTGGAAATGGAGCCAGTTGCCCATGACAACAACAAAAGTTGAACATGAAAACCTGGTCACCGAACTTTTGTTGTGCACTAATCAACTAAGAATCATAGTACAAGGACCATGGAGCAGGAGCTTACATGTATCCCAGTTTTATGTAGTATGAAGCAACTAGGACTATTCCTTCTCCCCCCTGGATGGGATGCTAGTCCATCACGGGGTACTCTCCTGGTTCTACACCCAGTTACTTCCTCCTGGGTGGGGAGGGTACTGACATTTCAAGTTGTAAGTTCACCACTACAACAGGTGCAATTAAAATGTTAGCATCGATTACCTGGAAAAGGGAAGAAAGGTTTTTCTTCTTGTGGAGAGAGCCTGTTTGGTGGGAGACTTGAAGGAATTTTCTTTGCAAAGCCATTGAGAGGGGACTTTTCTGCATTTTCCTGCTGCAATGGTTTTGTTACGTTGAATGTGGATTTTTTGAAACTGTTCCACAAACCTGAAAATGTTACCATAAAACAAAAATAAGGAATTACAGGTATTAAGTTTATATATCCATGTTAAATGTATAATTTGTGGTTACACCCATACAAAGTATTTTAATGAGATTGAAAATTTAATTGCAGTCCTGCCAGACCTGATAAACACATAAAAACAATAATGTTATAGTTATCAAAATAATATTAGCGTTGCCTCCAGCTAAACTCTAACATGTACCCAGCCACTAAACTTACACAATTTATTCTCCACACTATACCTATAGATTGTTATTTCAACAGAATAAATTACATTTTATGCATCACAACAGTAAAAAGCTTGGAATGGAGAGAGTGAGTTACACACACTTAAAAATAATTTATTCTAGTTTGCAACAAACCAACTTGCTTTTATGAAAGCATTGACCATTACTGCCTTTTAAAACTACAGTTGAACCCCTTTTAAGCAGCCACCCCTGGGGAAATGGGAGGTGGCAGCTTAACAGGGGTTGGCCGCTTAATAGAGGTTGGTGTACCTTGAATATTTTTCACCACCAGGGTTAATTTCTTAGTGAACATGGAGTCACTTCAAGACAATCGTGATAAACTTGCATTTGAATGATTTTATCAGTCATCACCTTCTATTTCAGACTCTTATCTGCCATCACCTTTTCCTAAACAAAGTTCTTAAATTTTGGGTTGCTGTTAAATAGGGGTAAAGACAATAGAAATAGAAAACCCTCATCGGGATGACCAAAAGGTGGCCACAACTGCTTAATACAGGTGGCTGGTTAATATAGGTTTTATTTACATTATTTTACTGACAATAATTTCGGGACTTAAATAACTGGCCGCTTAACAGGGGTGGCCACTAAATACAGTGTTCGGACTACAGGTATCAAACTAATTTGAGAACTTTGGGAACAAGTGGCTTTTAAAGAGAAATAGCCTAGATGGTAATCTTAAACCATTTAGATTCAATATATAAAAGAGGAAATTAATGATGAGAATGACATTTGAACATTGACATTTAGAGTGACAATTTTTGAGAGGTGGAAGCTGATGAAGATGTGGTCTCACCTAACACAGCTTCAGTACTGTTAGTGAACATACTAGTCTGTTTATCTGTTGGAGACATGGTATGTGTGGAAGAGCTGGAATGCGAGGAGGTACCAGAGACAAAAGTGTTCTCACTTTCTGCATCTGAAGTCATTTTTTTCCTGGTCTGATTGGGTGTGGGAGGGTTGGACACAGAATATATAAAATCTTCGCTGTCGTCATCTTGCACCGAGCATGAGTCACTGCTCAGTGAACAAGCTGCTGAGTCAGTGGTGGCATCAGAATGATCTGTCCTGAAACAATACACAAAGAAACAAATTCTTAGCAGCAAGCCCATTCTCAGGATATTAGGGTGTACAGTTGATCAGTTGCGATATCACAAAAGCAAGGATTTTCCAATATGCAGTATTAGCCAAGAGTGGCTAAGCCACTACTGTCTTGCAGTGAGTAATGACAGATCAGTGAAAGAAAGTTATGAAAGCAATGGACCTCTTTATCCCTGTTACGCTTTTCTAACTTTTTCATTCAAACAAAAAATAAACTGTACCACTTGATTTATTGTGCCGAATTTGGTAAATATGTGAAGTTTGATTAGAATCCGTTGCAAACTCACAAAAATATGGCATTCCAAAGTTGCCAAATTTTACAAAGAAATGTATGCCAGGGGCAATGCTTGCCCTCTGGCATACATTTCATTGTAAGTTGGATGGATTCTTATAAAACTTTGTAGATTTACTAAATTTGACAAGATAAATTGAACTAGGGAGGTTTTTTTTTTGTTAATTTGAAAAGTACAAAAAATTGTTGATGTTGCGTGAATTCCGTAAAAAGGTCCATACCTTCTGTCAGGTAATTAAAATAACAAAAATTTTGTCAAACACTGGCTGTTATTAATCACCCTGTATAAGAGAAAATTTACTGTATATGTATGTAGTAACAAATTAGTTGCTGTTGCTGTTGTTGTCGTTGTTGTTGTTGTTGTTGTGGCTATTACCTTGTACTACCGGTTGACACTTTCTTCTTCTTATCGAGAAGCATGTTTCCCATCATTACAGGAGCGCCTGGCAAAGTAAAGGATGCTTGCAAATCTGGCAATGGAGATGATGCCCTCACAGGAGCAAACGGGGGTGTGTGGAGACCACTTGGTGAGGACCCATTAATATCTCCACTGATCATCCTTTGCACAAGGTCACTGACGGAGCTGTGACAGCTGCTACTGTCATCATCTTCATCATTGTTGGGAGTGACTTCTTCCTCATCAAAAATCAAACTGGGTTCATAGTCGACGTCGATCCAAGGTTCCATGTAGATCTTCGAATTTGAGTCAAAAACCTGATAGACAACAGGCTCTAGGTCATTAGCAAACCACTTGGCTTTGTCTCCAATAACTTGAGGATCATAGATACCTACAAAAAAATAATACAACATTGATACATAATTGTCAAGAAAACAAGCCAATAAGAATCAAAATGCAAACTATGCAGAGAATTCTTTACCTTTGAGAACCTTCAAAAAGACTGTGTTTGATGGATATACCAGCCACTCTCCATAATATTCTAGTGACTGAAAAAAAAAGTTATTACTAAATTATCAAGTATGGAAATCATTTGTTTTTCAAAATGAAATGAAATATCACAATGACTGTAAACATGTGCACACACTATCTATATCAGTGAATCAACTATTGCTACATGCAATTTACTGTATTACTGACAATAACGTTTGATTGATCATAGACAGACCATAGCACACTTCATTTTTTTTTATCAGATTAAGAGTGGTTCAAAATAATTATATTAATGGACACTTTAGAGAGTAAAATATTAAATGAAGGATTTCGTCCAAAAGAGGGCATATACTGTATCTCTTTTTGGGCCAATTTTCATTTTTTGCAGGATCAAGCTAATTTTTGGCAGACTGACTTGTTTTGACATGAATAATGTTCCATAATTGTTTTTGTTGATTTGCGCTTTGTTTTCGAGAAATAACGTAATGCAAAAAACTCAGTTTTCCAAGGGCATCTTTTGGAGATTGTTGAATGAAAAACAAAAGAAACCTTTTGTTTCGCTAAACGATGAAGTTACCGAAGTGTGGCATTTCTTCTAGTTGTTTGAACTGATACAAATTTTATTATAATTAGGCTAATCTCTTACTGTTGCTTCGTTAGCGCAAGTGAATAAGGCGCTGAA